TTTTTTTTTTTTTTTTTTTTTTTTTTTTTTTTTTTTTTTTTTTTTTTTTTTTTTTTTTTTTTTTTTTTACTGCTTTTATTTGGAAAATTATGTATGGTTTAAGGAGATGCATGTGGGTGCCAAGTTGACAAGAGGTAGAATATGATGGCTGGTTTTATGTGTAAACTTAGCCAGGCTATACTAGCCAGTTGTTATTGGATCAAACACTAATTTGGTGTTGCTGTAAAGATATTTTATAGATATGCTTAACATCTACAATCAATTGGTTTTAAGCAAAGGACTTTATTTTCATAATGTGAGTGGGCCTTATCCAATCAGTGAAAAGGCCTTAAGGGTTTAAGTAAGAGTTCCCTGAGGAAGACATTCAGCCTAGGGGTGCTTAAGTGGTTCAGTGGGCTTAACTCTTGATTTCATCTCAGGTCTGGTCCCAGGGTCATGGGATGGAGCCCTGCTTCTGGCTCTGCACTGGGTGTGGAGCCTGCTTGAGATTCTCTCTCCCTCCTTTAGCCCCTCCTCTGCTCTAATGTGCACATATAAGTGCTCTCTTGTTCTCTCTCAAAATAAATAAATAAATATAAAAAAAGAAATTTAGCCTCAAGACTGCAGCATTAGCTCTGGCTGGAGAGTTTCCAGCCCACTAGCCTACCCTTTAGCCTCTGGATTTGAAACTCGCCACATCCCACAATCTCATAAGCACGTTTCTTGAAATAAATCTCATATATACATATCACACCTACATATATATATGCAATACACATATATATCCATACACATAGTTATAAAAGATTCACATATGTCAATATTTATAAAACATATCTTACTAGTTCTCTGTAGAACTCTTCATACATTCTTCATTCCTTGATGTAATTAACTTATTGCTATGCTTCTCTGTCATCTTAGAAATATTAAATCTGAAAGGCATTTCTATACTCTAGGATTCCAGTTCTCAATCTGTAGTACCCATCCTCAAATCATCAAAGATGCATTTGATTCTCTAAGCTCCACAGTTATGAGAAAAAAGTCACCAATGGTGACTTCTAAGATTGATTAATGTACCTCTGGGAGGACATCAGAACCCCTAATGTGAGTTTGTTGGTTTCTTGACATCAACCACTTAACAAAGTCAGGTTGGTTCATGCTCTATCCATTCTCTTCTCCAATCTACACTCATTCCTCTGCTGGTCTTACCTAGTGTCATGACTTGGAATGGCAGTGTACGCTAACAACTCTCAAATACATGTGAGTGTCCACAAAAATGAACAAACCTTTTAGCAAATTTTAAAGAGAAAGAAGAGGGTATTATTTGAGCTCATGTTAAGACAGCTGCCTGGGATACACAATCTTCACAAAGCAAAGAAAAGCGTGCTCTGGGGAAGGTTTGGTGCAGTGAATTATATATATATACACATATATATATACTATATATATATATATGTGTGTATATAATGATTTGTAACTCTTTATGTTAATTAACATTATGACCAAGGACATTCCAAAAAGTCAGACTTTGTCTTACATTTTTGGCATAGGCAAATATCTATGACTAATCTTATGGGAACCAAGAAAGTTTTTTCCTTTTTCTTATCTTTATGTTTGGAATGTTACATTCTGGTTCTTTTTCTTTTTCCTTCCTTTTGTAAGTTTATTTATTTATTTTGAGAGAGAGAGAGAGAAACACAATTGGGCAAGGGGCAGAGAGAGAGGGAGAGAGAATTCCCAAGCAGGCTCTGCGCTGTCAGTCAGTTGTGGGGCTCAAATCCACAAACCATGAGAACTTGACCTGAGCTGAAATCAACAGTCTGATGCTTAACTAACTGAGCCACCCAGGTGCACCTGTTATTCTTATTTTTATTTTTTATTTTTCAGTGAAGCAGATGTACAACATGTGCTTGGGGCAGAAAAAGACCCCACGCCAAGCCATTTTGACCTTGGTAAACGTTAAAATATACTTTCCCTAGGAGCCCAAGAGCAAGGCTCACAAACATGAAAAGTTGAAATTTTCCTTTATTTTATTAAAGCTGAACTCTTTTCCAATGTTCAGTCATTGAACTGCCTATGTAACACATAAACATTTTAAACGGACCATACTGGAAACTGGAGTCCTTAGTTTCCCTCTAAGCCTCCTGAATCCTTGCCTCCCCACCTCACAGAATGGCAAATCCATTTTTTGGTAATTTGGGCCAACTACATGATTTAGAGTTTCATTCATCTTATGAAAAAGGCACTGGACTAAATAAGGCCCTGGAGACTGTGCAGCCTGTGAAAGGGGACTTCCAGTGTCCTCCTTGGGAGGTTTTGTGGGTTTTTTTAAGTTTTTTTTTTTCCTTTTTGAGAGAGAGAGAGAGAAACTTGAGCAGAGTGGGGAATGGGGCAGAGAGCGAGTGAAAATCCTAAGCAGGCTCTGCGCTGTCAGCACAGAGTGTGAGGTGGTGATCTCACCACCACATCAAGTCAGATGCTTAACCAACTGAGCTGATAAGGTGGCCCCTCCTTGGGAGGATTTTTAAGCTACTTTTTGGTCTGTTACCCTAGAAGAAGACCGGGGAAAGTGGTGCCGAAAAGGGGAAGCCACCAGGCCAGCTGGGGCAGAAGGTCAACTCCTCGCCTTCGCATACACCTCCACCCTGACAGATGTCCCTGTCTCCGGAGCCTCGACTTCCCAGGCACAGAATGGAGGCTCTCACCGCTGTCCCCTGTCCTCCGAGTTGTGTTCACTTAAGACGTCAGATCTGTTGCTCGTTTGCTTGTGCTCCTTCCCCTCGGAGGAAAACTTCTGTAAGTACACCCTGCCCGGTTGGATTCAGAGGAGGGAAACCACACTACCCAGAAGGCATCTGAGACCAATGACGGCCAAGAACAGGGGCGCTTCCTGCGGCTCACGTACGTGGGCGGGACTTCCGGGTTTTTCACTACCGCCGCCATTTGCCTCAGCGGTTCGCCCTGGGACGGCCTTGACCCGCGGCGGGCTGTGCCGGCGCCGCTCCTTAGGCCTTTCGTGGGGAGCGAGCGGAGAAGGAGGCGCTTCGCAGGGGCTGCGACTCCCTGTAGCGGGTGTGCCCCTGGCCGCTCGCCGGGCCGCGGCCTCCCGGCCGCCCTCGAACCCCGGAGTCGTCGAGGGCGGCGCCCCGAGTCGTGGTGCCTTTTACGCGGCGGCCTCCCGGGCGCTCGCCTCTCCCCGCCTTACTCGACCCGCGGGGCCCACGATGGCGGCGCCGCCGACCGGCCTGACGCAGGTCAGTGGACGTTGGCGTCGGGGTTGCTGCGTCCGTGCGAGGGCGGAGACGGACCCCGGGGGGCCGGGAGCCCCGACGTCGCGTGTTGCGGGGGCAGGGGCTGACTTGCGGGTCAGTTGACCCCCAGTTCCTGGAAGTGTTTGGTCTCTGACTTGCTCAGTAAATGTGGCGAGAACGAAAGATGCTTCCGTCTGCAACTCCCGTCAGTCTGAGGGTATACCCCGCCCCGGCCAGGACCTGGGACGGTCCACGCTGCCCCACCTGCCCTCTTGTAACAGGCGACCCTCGGCGTCGGGCGGAGGGGGACCGCTCTCCAGGCAGAGAGAAGTGCAGGGAGGCCCGGGAGGGCCAGTGAGGCTGCCGCGGTCCCAGCTGCGGGGGCGGGGCGGGGGGCGGGACCCTCTGGTCTTCGCGGGAGGTTCCGCCCCTCCTGCGCCAGCGCTGGCATTGCGGTCGGTCACAGGCTATTCTTCCCGTGGCCGAGCCTGTTCTCCGTAGCCATGTGTGCTCCCTGGTCCCGAAGTTTCCTGGCCTCGGAGGGGAGCAAGTGCTGTCAGAGCTCAGAAAGGAAAAAGAGGCTAATGGTTCAGAGTGGAATCTCCCCGGGAGTCGGGGAGTCCGGGAGCCCCAGGGCCGGGGGAAGGGGCACGGGGTCCTACCGGTTACCCAAGGAGGTGCCCCACCTCTCCAGGTGCCTTTCCTGTGAGGTCAGTGCTGAGGGCTCTGCTCCTCAGTCCATGTTGCAAAAATAGTTTCAGGGGTGATGGAAATGTATTTAACGACAAAAGTTGGGGTAGATGCTTCACAATGTCATTACTTTGTAATCACTGATTATGGGGGAGTTCCCACTTCTCTTCCTCCCGGTATTGGAGTAACCGGCGGTTAAAAGGTTGCCTCTGGTGTGTAAGGTGCAAGACTTTGGGTGAATTGAGGAAACTGCCTTAGCCTTTCACGGGCTGTGGTTGGAGGTGATGAACCGTTCACCTCGGGGGCTGTGGGAGAAATCGCGAGAATCCTGAAGCACGCTGAGCTGAGTCATTTCCGTGTAAGTCTCACAACTGTCATCAGTGAAGTGGGAACTGTTATTTATTGATCCAGAAGCAGAGGCTCAGAGAAATGAAGTGATGTCTTCAAGGTAACACGGCTGGCAAGTGTCGGGTTTCCAGAGTTTGGATTCCAGCCACAGGACACTGACTTACGGACTGGGGACTTGTAGTCGCTTTAACCAGGATGTGCCCCTCAGCATGGGGCAGGCAGCTAGCAGGACCAGTGAGGCCCAGGTACTGCTGTTGTCACCAGTACTGTTACTGTCATTATTCACTCATCGCTCTGATGTCCCAGAGCCCATGGTGTCTGCATCTCCCAGTCCACCCATCACTTCCATCGTCTTGTGTGACCTTCCGGTGGCTTCCATGGAGGAGGCTTCTTCCTTACACAGCTCTGTTACCTCCACAGCATTGCCCACTCCCCCTTGAGCCCAGCACAGAGCTTGGCGCTCAGAAGGTTCTTGGCGATCCGAGCCTTGATCACTCTGTGCCTTTATCAGGGAGGTAGGGATGAGCTCTGATCCCATCCAGCTCCCCAAGGCCAACGCTCCTACCTCTGTTTGACATCCAGGTATCAGTGACCTTCGACGATGTGGCCGTGACTTTTACCCAGGAGGAGTGGGGGCAGCTGGACCCGGCCCAGAGGATCCTGTACCAGGAGGTGATGCTGGAAAACTGTGGACTTCTGGTGTCTCTGGGTAAGTCCTCCCGACTCTCCCGTGGGGGAGACCTGCCGCCTCGTTGTGAGAGGACCTTCTGGCTGCAGGCGTGGCCCCCAGAGTCCTCACCTCTGCATCTTTGCATGTTTGTATGGTTTCTCTTCCTTTCTCTGCTGCGGGGCCGTGTGAGGTGTCCTTGAGGCAGGCATGGCCGGCCACCTGAGCCCGAGCTTCTGTGGCCCTCTCACCCCAGTGTCCGGGACAGACTGGCCTCCGTCTGAGGTTCTTATTTCACATTCCAGAGGGGGAGCTGACGGGCGGGGTGGGGGGGGAGGAGCCTGGCTGGCTCAGGTGTCCTCAGCAGGGCGGGGAGTGATGGGAAGCTCTCCAGGAGGGGAGGGAGTCAGGCCCCCCGGGAGGCCTTCGCCTTCAGCGCCGACAGGTAGACAGGTAGGGCTCTAAACAACGTGATCCCGGTGAAGGGGCTTCCCTGTTCGCGTGCCCTCGTGGCTGTCACTTGTTTGCAGGGCCGGGGGCGTCTGGCGGGCCGGGAGAGGCAGCTCGAGTAGTCCTTCTCGGGGGTTGCCAGTTTTGCCCCCAGGAGCCATTGGCAACGTCTGCGGGCGCTCTGGGCTGTCCCGCCTTGGGTGTGGGAGGAACTGGCATCTGGCGGTTAGAGTCCGGAGATGCTGGAGACACCCTTCGATGGACAGGACAGGCCCCTCAAGAGGAATGATCCCGCCTGTAGAATCCAGGGTGCCCTGGCTGAGAAACGCCAGCTTAGATGTTTCTCTGCTTGAGGTGAGTCAGCAGGAGGCCGTTCGATCCGAGGGAGAGGAGGGCTGTGGATCCAGGGCTCAGGCTGTGCACGGCGTCTAGAGGTTTCCCCAGGCGCGCACCTGCCTCGGGCCTCGACTTGCTGTTGTGTCTGCCCGGTGAGTGTTCGTGGGCATTTCAGCCTCGTAAGGTCTTCCTTCTGGGCACGGCCCCCGCCTCCTCGCCAGCTGTGTCCTGGCACCAGATCTCATGAGGCCCCTGCCCCATCCCTGTCACTTTCTCTCATCATCCCGGTTATGGCCTTCTAGGCCAGCGGTCTCAACCGGGGATGGTGTGCTCCCCCCGGGGGACGCCGGGCTGTGTTTGTAGACATTTTGGTTGTCACCACTGGGATGGGGCTGGGAGAGGCACCTAGTGGGTGGAGACCTGGAGAGCTGCCAGATGTCCTTGTGATGCACAGGACAGTTTCCTCCCTGTCTTCCCTACAGAGAAGCATCTGACTTCGATAATCGTGCCCATGTAACCCAAGTAATTTTGTCAGGCTGAGACCCCTTGTATCAGAGAGTGTAGGGACATCAGCTGGAATTGACAGACACCCTGACATCAGCGTTGCATTATTCTCTTTCCTGCCTTCTGATTGTTTTTGATGGCAAGTCTGGACTTACTGCTGAACCTTTTTAAAAGTAATTCATTAATTTATTTAGCAGTTACTTATTTGTGGGGGGAGAGAGAGAGAGAGCGTGTGTGTGCGTGAGCAAGCGAGGCGGGGGAGGGGCAGAGAGAGAGGGAAAGAGAATCCCAAGCCGGCTCCTGCACTGTCGGCGCGGAGCCCAAAGGGGGCTCAGCCCCGTGAACCACAAGATCATGACCTGAGTTGAAACCAAGAGTCGAATGCTTGACTGACTGAGCCCCCATGTGCCCTTATGGTGAAGCTTAATACACCTTCACTCCACACCCCTCCAGTTGTTGGTACTTTTCTCTTTAAAACAGAAGGAGCTTTGAGCTCACAGCCCTGAGCAGGCAGCATGACTCACTGGGACTTACCATCATTTTGACTGCACTGCTGAGTTTGTGGTGACCTGCCACTAAAGGAAGTCTCCAGGTTTCTGTACCAGAGTGATGCAGGATTCCTTCTTCGAAGAAAATAAGAAAAATTCAGAATGGGTGATGTTCAAAAGTAGTTAATAATCATAGATACCCTGAGCACTGACTGTGTGGGACTGTTTGGGCTTAATCATGCTCCACTCTTGTAAATAGTCACAACATCCACCCCACCCCCTGTATCAATTTGCACCTGCAAGATTTGCATTTGTAGAAGTGACTTAGTGATAGATGACGTAAAGAGGTTAATGCTGTCATGCGTTTTGCAGACCTCTGTGTGCATTTACATACATATGTACACAGCTGTGCATGTTTGTACATACACGCCCCTGTATGTGCCGAAAAGAATCTTTTTCCTCTACTCAGCCACACTTCTGATAGCAAAATCCTGTTTCCGACACCACGCAGTTCTGACACACGCTAAGGTCACAGAGATCCCACACGTTAAGGGCTCAGTCTCGTAGGGCAGCCCCTTCGCCTCCCACACATCCGGTCACAAGTCCAGGTCGTCATCTGTCTGGATCAGCTGGCTATACATCAGGTATGATCCCCTCCGCAGGTTTGATAATTTGCTAGGGTGGCTCATAGAACTTAGGCAACCAGCTTAATATTACCCAGTTATTATAAAGGATTAAAGTCAGGAATGGCCACGTGGAAGAGAGCGGAGGACTAGGCTTGCCACCCTTCCTGCAGCTCGCTGTGTTTACCAACCTGGAAACTCCCTGAACCACGTTAGGGCTTTTTATGAAAGCTTCATTACATCGGCATCATGGATGAAATCACTGGCTGTTCGTGATTGAACTCTGTCTCCAGCCTCTCGCTTCACAGAAGTTGGGGTTGGAACCGAACGTTCTAGTGCTATAATCCTGTGGTTAGTTCCCCTGGCCTCTCCTTAGGAGTGTTCTAAAAGTCATCTCAGGAACATAATAGAACTCCTAACAGGATAGCTCCTGTGTCTAATTTTGGTCTTTGGAGAGGCAGTCTGGACACGTGCTGGGGTGAAGGTGTTAGTGCAGGGGGGTCATCGTTGAGGTGTTGGTCTGGGATGATGATGTCTGCGTGTGGGACTGGGGTGTCCTTTGCAGGTGAAGGCCCCCTCCAGTTGATGGGGCCCCCGCGCTTGCCGTGTTTGGTTGAAACGATGGTGTGGGGTGTTAGTAGGCCAAGAGGCCTTTTGTAAGGCGAGCTAGAGACCCATCCGGGGCTATTTGTCACACTGGGATTTGAAAAGGAGTTATTCAGAGTGATTCTTATGTCTTCCACTTAAACTAGCTATTTGGGGCGAGTTTGGGCCAGAAAGCTCTGGAGTGTCTCTTCCCAGAGCCCAGCTTTGTTTAATTGGGGAAATGAGGTGTGTGTCCATTACCAGTATCGCCTGCAGCTCTGAGGGGAACGAGGAATGCCTGGTGGTCCCTTGTGGTTTTGACTTATTTTGGTGGTGTCTGTGAGACAGCAGGTTCTTTGAGTTCTTTCCCCCGAAGGGCTCCAGTTTTGGGCAGTGGCGCAGCAGTTTATGATGAATGTGGAGATGGGATCATTTGTGGCCAGGGCATCTGGTGCGAAGATAACCCCCTGAAGTTTGGCCAAGTAATGTTTCTTAAGTCCCATTTTTATTTAGAACATTCTGGCTAAGGGTTAGAAAGCCGCAGCATTCCACTGAACCCCATCGGATGTGACGGAAAGTAGTGTCTCTTGTAGTCCCTGAGCTCCTGTAATTATTCGCTCCTTTACTCCCAGGGGCTTTCCGGGGACCTGGGGAATGGGTGACGTCCTCCAGCAGCAGAGCACGTGACGGGGGACTGCGGACAGGAGAGGCTGCCAGCTCCTCCGAGTGGAGAATTCCATGTGGCCCAGAACAAGTGCCTGCCTGTCTCAGAGGGTCGTTGTCGGTGGTGCCAGCCCGTCTCGGTGTCATCGGTGGTGGTGCCAGCCTGTCCCGGGGGGTCATCGGTGGTGGTGCCAGCCTGTCCCGGGGGGGTCATCGTTGGTGATGCCAGCCCATCTCGGGGTCGTCATGGCGGCACCGAGCTCGTGTCGTGGTTTGTGTGACCCGGGGCACAGTGGGCAGCCGGGCGTGGAGGTTACAGGCTCCTGTGTGTGAGACGGCTGTTGTCAGGGGGGCCTAGTGTGTGGTCAGTTGTGTTTTTAACAGTGTAGCACTGGAACTGGGGACAGTTTGTCTCATCAGAAGCCCTCGGGGCCATCGTTGGTCATCCAGAAACTCCCGAATGCTTGAGAAGGAAGATGTTGTCACAGCCTCTGTAGTAAAGGAGGCTCTGAGGGCACCCGCTACGGTGTCTGTTAACAGTATTTTGAACAGATTTTGGAGTCTGTGTGGGAGAAAGCCTCACTTAAGGTGGGCTGACCTGTCACTGTCAGCACCAGCGAGATTAAATAAAATGTGGAAATGAGGAATATAGTAACGAGATCCCAAGTAATACTAAGTAGTGTTAGTATCTAAAACTAATCCCCCAGGGACTCCTGGGGGTCCCAGTTGGTTGAGTGTCAGATCTTGATTCAGCTCAGGCCGTGATCTCACGGTTTGTGTGGGTTTGAGCCCCATGTTGGGCTCCGAGCAGACAGCTCCGAACCTGCTTGGGATTTTTCTCTCCCTCTCTCTGCCCATCCCCCACTCACTTGTGCTGGCATGGGTGTGCGCGCTTGCTCTCACTCGCTCTCACTCGCGCGTGCGCTCTCTCTCTCTCTCTCTCTCTCTCTCTTAAAATAAAGAAATTATAATATAAAATAACCAATCCCACAAAGGGATTAAAAGATGTTGGGTTTATGTATCCGTAGCGAGTGTGTCACGTGAACTTCCTCGGACAAGGTCGTCCTCGATGTACCGTCACACTTGTGCTCCTGCAGAAAGGTGGACACACTTCACATCTCGTCTGCAGAGATGTGAGCGGGGGCAGAACTGTTGAGCCACCCTCGTCAGCTGCCTGGGAGAGGAGGCTTTCCCTGCGGGGGAAGGTGGGGGCAGGCAGGCTGGCGTTGAAGCAGTTCGAACAGGCACCGAGCAGCACAGGGTTGGCCAGACCTGTAAGCCCAAAATAATCAGCAGGGTGTTGATGGAATGACGTTCTTGATTTCTGTTGCGTGTTAGATGTGTGGACCGTGTGAAACAGCTCTGGCTGCCAGACTGTGGCTTCACCAGCAGCTTTATTTCCACATCATTCTGGAGGCTGGAGGTTCCAGACTGAAGTGCTGTCAGATAGGTGTCTGATGACGATCTCTTCCTGGCCACCACCTCGTGCTGTGTCCTCATGTGGCCTTTCAGAGGAAAGGTGTCCTTTTAAGGACACCACTGCTACCTGATTGGGCCACATCCCACGGCCTCATTTAACCTAATTCCCTCCTTAAAGATCCTATCTCCATACTCGATCACATTGGGAATTTGAGCATAATGAGGACACATTCCATTCTTAGTAGAGACCCTGGTGGATGGTGTCAAGGTTGCAGTTACTCCCCATGAGGTGCCCTTCATCTGTTCCAGGTTTGAGAACAGACACAACCGGGCTGTCCGGTGGAGCAGCAGTAGGGCAGTCATTCCTTTATTGATCAGCTTTTATGGGATAAAAGGCCCCTTTTCGGCTTCCATTGGGCTCTTTTAACTATTTTACCTGCGGTCTGTGGGCCCCATCTTACCAATCCAGTTTGTAAGTGCCAAAAATATATTGTAATTCTGTGATGCATCAGAGCATCCGAGCCATAATGGCAACATTTAGGACGGTGAGTGCTGTGACGAGGGGAGGTGTAGGCAAGTGTGCAGGTGCGGTGAGATACCTGTTTTCCCTCTGTATTAGCTGCTTCTTAAGTTTGGGCAGCGCAGTATTTACATTTAGTGGAATCTCCAGGTATAACTAGGATTTGAGCCCCAGTATTGGTTCAACTTATGAAGTTTTGTCAATTGGTGCATTTTAGAAATCCGGAAGTTAATTCAGAACCTACATTGTATAGTCAGAGAAGGCATTTAGTGCCCAGCTTTGTTTTGGTGATATAAGTTTTTTTGGAATATAAATTTTGTTATATAGAATTATTATATATAATTTGTTACCTTAACTTTTAGCATATAAGTTTTGCATTTCTAATCACGTCAAACCATAGACCATGTTTTAGTTATATACTGTGCATTTACTTATTTTTTATTTTCTCCCTGTGTATCTAGGGGTTCGTGTTTGTTACTGTTTTTAAGTCAATCAGTAGTTTAGAATGATTGTTTCGTTTTCTAAAGCTGGTATTTGCTTGGTATATGAGTTTTAAAGCGCCCGCCCCCTGCTTTATTCTCTGGGCTTTTAGCTGCCTGGAGCCCCACATTGAATTTGTCTCCTGCTGGTGTGAGGAGGAGCGGGGAGGGCCTGGGGCCTCTGGGCAGCAGCCTCCCTGGGATGGCCCTGGGCAGCATAATTGTTGTCGTCACTGCTCTGTCCCTGATCATTGTCCTATTCTTGGGTGTTTACCTGATCAGCTCCCGGCAGTCCCAAGTGGCCCCTGTTGAGTGGTGGCCTCCTCTAGGGCGCCCAGACAGCTGCAGAGGGGCCAGGGCTTACGTCTGGGGATTTTAAGGAGGAAAGTCTGGCCTGCTGCTGGGCAGCCATAGTCGGGGTGCCCGGACGCATTGACTGGGGGCTGTGTAATCTGCAATGAGGGAAGATGCACCCCGAGGTGCCCTAGCAGGAACAAGATACTCCATACGCTTCTTTTTCTCCCTTACACATTGAACCACGGGTCTCCGAGGATGCGCTGCCTCATCCCTACTGGGTTGGGGGACAGACTACAACAGTAGGGCCAGCAGCCATGGCAGGATTTGCCCTTAAAGCAATTGAGGCCTCTTGTGCCACATCATCTGAGGAGGTTGCCCCGCACTGTGTGGCCAGTAGATCCCTTCTATCACACGGGGGACCAGTGCTGGGACTCTGCCCCAGATGTGCCCAGAAAAGGGAGAGCCCGTACCATCAGTCCCTCAGGTAACCCAGCTGAGCAGCCCAGCACTGACTTTGTGCTGCTGGCTCACTGGGCACACCTGCGCCGGGAGGCCGGGGGGGGACAGGGGGCCTTGGCCGTGCACAACAGTCACTTACCCTAGTTGCCCCTGGGGGCACCTGCCCAGAGATTTGACCACGGAAAGACGGAGGAGATTGGTCTTTGTAGATAAATCGGCAACTAGGGAATCAGCCCTTGCAGACCTAGATTATCACGCCTGTAAACTACAGGACCTAAAAAAAGTCTCAGATCAGTAAAGACACATACTTTGTTTTGAATGGAGAGAGTCAATATTTTAAATATGTCAGTTATTTAAATTATCTCATAAATTTATTTCCACCTTAAACATAATGTATTTGAATTGCTTGCCGTAGTTACTGGGATATGGTTACACCCCATAAATACTGGTTTTTCATTTACTGTTAGGATTAGAAATTCCACAATAACGAGGTAGATCAATGAAGCCACGCTTCAGAGTCCTGCCAGGAAGTGACATGGGAGCAGAGACCAGAAGAGTTAGAGTTAGCTGAGTTAGCTAGAGGCACAAGGTGGGAAGAGAACAGCCTGCCAGGTAGAAGGGCCAACACATGAAAAGGCCCTGGGGTCGCAGGGAGCGGGACTCCTGAGAGCTGAAGGGAAGTCTTACTCCCTTTTCGACGGCGCAGCAACTGGGCCCCGCGCTGGGCCTGCGGCAGACGTGAGTGAGGTTTGCGTAGTGACAACTGATACTCTCGGGCTGTGCTTCCGTATCTGCCAGCGCAGCATTCTGTGGGTCCCGGTGCCTCTGCCCGTGACTTCTCTGCAGTCCCGTGTGTTCCCCCCGTGTCTGAGACGACAGAGCAGCTCAGTCTTCACCCTGAAGGAAGTTGATTCTCTCATCTATAAGTTCAGAGGTGGTCCCGGCTCCCGGCCTGGTGGGTGGCTTCTGCACCTCCTCTCTGCTCTGGGTCTTTCAGGCAGGTTCCCTCATAAAAGCCCCAGGATGCCGCCGGACCGCAGCGGCGGGCCCCCCCCCTCAGCCGTCCTGGCTGCTGCCGGGTTGTGTGCCTTAACAGTCGGTGATGGAGGATTGCCACTTGCGGGTTGGTAGAGGTTGTGGTTTTTCGACCTTCCTTTGATGCCAGAACCTGCTGGGAAGGTTTTTAAGTCTCCAGGTACCCAGGCTTCGCCTGCAGAGGTTTGCTTTCATTGGATGTGAAGCAGACATGCCAGGGGGCATGGATGCACACATGTGTGAGACACACTTCCTTGGGTTAATGAGAAAACACTTTCTGGAAGAAGGGGATCCTCTTCCTGGGATTCTGTGAGCTGGAAGTCAAAGGGAGCAGGTGCTGTCTACACAGCCGGGACTGCTGTCTCAAGTCTTTGGATCCTAGCAGTGGTGTTTGTGCCTGTTTCCAGGTGACAGGTCAGTGTTCACGTGGATGGGAACAGCTTCATTCTGAGGTCATAATCCACATCTTGAAGTCCCAGACTAGATTGAGGGGTTTATTTCTCTTCACTGAAACCCCAGCATCGTCTTTCTTTCTCCGTGAACAGGGTGTCCTGTTCCTCGACCGGAGCTGATCTGCCAGCTGGAGCGCGGGCAGCAGCTGTGGACGGCGAAGAGAGACCCGTCCCGGAGCACCTATCCAGGTAGGAGCCAGGATGCGGGCAGGTGGGAGACCCTGCAGGCTCCAGGCCGGGAGGGGACCGCGGGCCCTGGACCCCCGGGAAGCGTCTCGTTCTGGCCTCTGGTGGTTTGGAAGCCGGGGAACCCTTTGACCTAGAGTCCGCGCGCCCAGAGAGGGACCCGTGATGTCACTCCCTCCTTCCACCTGCCAAGTTTCGGTGACCGGTCCTGCGGCCCCACCAGGTTGGAGACGGGACACAGCCGCAGAGAGCCGCTCACGCGTCCCCCGCCCTCAGTGCCTCCGTCCCGCCCGCCGTCCCCAGGTCCTGTGCAGCTTAGGGCCCCCGCGCCTCCTCTCGGTCACGTGCACCCCCTCCGTCAGACCCGCCCCCACGCTCCGTGCTCGCTCTGATCATCTCCCCTCTGGGGGCTGCCGGCCTCCCCACCGCTCTCTCTGTGTGCGGGGTGACCCTAGTCCCGGCGCCGGGGTCCGTCTGAGCTTCCCCAGGGGCTCAGACTCTGCTCCTGACGGTCAGCACTTCCCCAGCCTCGGACGTGTCCCCAGCGTGTGACTGCGGCGTGTCTGCAGGTCCTCACGTGGAAAGTGAAGTGCACCTCCGCGCCCCTCCCCCCTTCCCCCCCCGCAGCTTAAGCCTCGACCCTTCCACACTCTCATGGGCTCTCCTGTGTCTGCAGCTTCCGCGTCCGTGTAGCGGATGAGGTCTTGCCCTTGACCCGGGGCCACTTCCTGAACTGGAGTGTAGAGCACCTTTTCAGGGAAATTTCTTCCTCCTCCGTTTTCTGTTTGTTGCATAATGTAACTTCAGCCTTTCTCTACTCAACGTAAAATATCCTCAAGGGGCGCCTGGGTGGCTCAGTCAGTTAAACATCTGTCTTTGGCTCAGGTCATGATCTCACAGTTTGTGAGTTCCAGCCCTGCATCAGGCTCTGTGCTGACAGCTCGGAGCCTGGAGCCTGCTTCAGATTCTGTGTCTCCCTCTCTCTCTGGCCCTGCCCTGCTCACATTCATGCTCACTTGCTTTCTTCTCTCAAAAATAAACATAAAATACGTATGTGTATATATATGGTACATATGCTCCAGTTCCTTATGGTCGAAGGTGGTCAGTAAAGTTCCCGGCTCAGGTGGCACCCATCCTCTCTCCATGCGGTCACGTGTTCGCTTCTCATGCACACACGGCACTGCCCAGCGGTGTTGTGCAAGTGGTTATGCCTCTTTAATGTTTCTTGGAGTGAGGTTGATGGATTACGGGCTGTGCAGCCTTCCAAGTTTTTACTGGATAATTGCCACTGTTCTTTTTTTATTTAAAAAAATTTTTAATATTTATATATTGAGAGAGAAACATTTGACATTTAATCTTTCGATCCGAGGTAGAACTGGAGTCTCTTGTGAGATAGCAGTACAATTTTGCATTTCCAGTGTGACACGAGTCTTCCTGGCTCCGTTTGCTGTTTCTCTCCTCCTACCCCCGAGCTGCTCTGCCCCATCTGCCGTCCACTAAGCTCCCTGCATGTGTGTTTCCCGAACTCTTAATCTTTTTCCGCTGCTCGTTGTCTTCTCTCTGTGCCGGTACCATAGTGTGCAAGCGTCCATAATTTTGTGACAGCACTGTCATCTGAGACTTGTGACAGCACTGTCATCTGAGACGGTAGGTGTCCTCTTTATTCTTGCCTCTTTGACCCTTCATACAAGTCCTGCCATCAGACTGTGAAGTTCCTTGACAACCCAGTTGGCATTTTATAGGGAATTTATTGAAACTGTTTTTACTCATTTGGGTAGAATTGTCAGTTTTTTATTATTTTTATTCCCCCCAGTTTTGTTGAGTAATAATGGACCTGCGTCGCCATATGGGTTTCCCCACCATGGGAAAGTAGAGTGCTCCTGTGAAACTTTTCATTAGGAGAAATTACCATTTATTTATATGGAAGATTTTTTTACTATTTCCATACTCTAAAAATAATCTCTCTCAGCGTTTTCTGATACCTTAGGACACATCTTGCTGACGGATGCCCAAAATAAGTTGAGAGGAAAGCACAGATGCTCGCAGACACAGCTCCGAGCTGTGGCGGCTCAACCTTGGGGACTGTTTTGGTGACGGCGCTCGGTGGGCCCGCCCTGGGGCCGCCGCCTCTGTGACAGCTCGCTGCAACACAGACGCCCAACACAAGCAAAGATTTTTGCTTTTTCACGGTTTTTCCTAAAAGGGAAAGTCTGTGAATTTCTTTCAGGTAGTGGAAACAGGTACTGATGTTGGCCTAAGGAAGGAGAAAATTAAAAAGGAAACAAGGTTTTTTCTTGTGATGAGAACTGTTAGGATTTACTCTCTCACCTGCTCTGTGTCACGACAGCGGCGGTAGCTAGGGTCCTGGTGTGGTACGTCACGTTCCTAGCACTTAACCTTGTAACTGGAAGTTTGTCCCTCTCAACCCACCTTCCTCCGACTCCCCTGACCCCCACGTTGAATTCTTTATCGCTCCAGCTCTTCCTTCATGTCTTCAAGTGAAGTTGTATCATTTTCTCCTCTAGATCCACGTGTATTTTGCTGGTCTCTTCCCCACACTGGTCCTCAGGGAAACCCAGTACATGCCCTGTCCTGGGAGTCCTCACTGTCCCCCGTCAGAACCTTGGGAGTCCTGTTCCCTTGTCTCCTCCTGTCCCTGGATTCTCATCGACACCATCCTCGAGCTCTCGGCCCCCTTGTACGTTCTGTCTCCTGAGGCTGCTGTGCCCTCGGTGCTTCCTTTCTGGGCGACTCTGTGCTGCCGGTGGAGCTCCCATCAAGGGCACCTCCGATTGGTAAACGCTGGTGATCTCTGAACACAGTAGCCAGATTCAAGGCTAAGAACACAGAGCTCCCGAGAATGCCAAGTTTTCCCAGGTCATCTGAAACCACTAGTTCAGAGATTTCCCACAACTACCCTTAGGTTCGACAAATTGCTAGAAAGACTCAAAAAACTTCTAAAATCTGTTATTACTCTGCCCTCGGTATTTGTTACAGATTAAGGATACAGCCTAGAAGCAGGGCCAGAGGCGTTCCAAACACAGAACTTCAATGTCTTCAGTGACTTGTTCCTTCCTGGCATCCGTGTGTGACAATAATACTCACGGATATGGCCAACCTGGGAGATTGGCCAGAGTGTCACTATTCTGATTTTTATTGAGCCTTCTTTATGTGAGCACAGTTGATTGAGTCATTGTCCGTTGGACTCAGTCTCTAGCTCTTTTTCCCTTTCTGGAGGTCCAGCTGATATCTCGTGGCTCAAAGTCCTAACTTTCTAATTACGTGGTTGGTTTTTCTAATGTGGCTGGATCTTGTCTTGAGTCATCTCGTTAGTATAAAGTGAGGGCCTGTAATGAGTTATCTGCTGTCCTAAAAGGGGCACAATCCTAGGCACCCACGTGGGATGTCCACACGTAGAGGAACCGTGCAGCATGCAGCGTCATAATTAGTCTGTGCGCCCGCATCCAGGATGGGATCGTGGTGGTATTTCCTCTCCAGACCTCCTGTCCCCGCACCTGGCTTCTCCCTCTGGGTTCCCTCCTTTCAAGATGTCAACAGTCCAAAGTCCAGCAGAAAAAATCCTGAGATTCAGAGGTAGTAAAACATAGCAGAGACAGGCACTGCTTTCATCTTCGTTTCTTTCACTGAAATGCTAGTTTTGTTTTTCCCATGTTGTCGTATTCACAGGCCTTTTTCTGTATTGGGCTTCTTTCAGGTGACCAGGACAAACCCAAGACCACAGAACCTACAGCTGGTGAGCCAGCCCTGCCTGAGGGGGCCTCATTCCAGGAACTAAGACGGGGTGACCCAGGGAACTACCAGTGGGGCCAAACTAAGGATCGGGACGGACCGTCAGAAATGCAGGAAGGACACTTGAGACCAGGGTTTGAACCCCAGAAGGAGAAGCTCCCTGAGAAAATGAGTCTTGGATATGATGGCTTAGGGACAGCTGATGGTGCGTGTTCACGGATTGCACGGGACCTGATCCCTCCGGGCAGTGCTGACCGTGACCGTGACTCATGTGGATCAGAGAAAGATCCCATGATTCAAGAAGAGGAAAATGCCTTTAAGTGCAATGAATGCGGGAAAACTTTTAATAAGAAGCACCTTCTTGCTGGACATGAAAAGATTCACTCTGGCGTGAAGCCCTATGAATGCACCGAGTGCGGGAAAACCTTTATCAAGAGCACACACCTCCTGCAGCACCACATGATCCACACCGGGGAGAGGCCCTACGAGTGCATGGAGTGCGGGAAGGCCTTCAACCGCAAGTCCTACCTTACCCAGCACCAGCGGATTCACAGTGGGGAGAAGCCTTATAAGTGCAGCGAGTGTGGAAAGGCCTTCACCCACCGCTCCAATTTTGTCCTGCATAAGAGGAGACACGCTGGAGAGAAACCCTTTGTGTGCAAAGAGTGCGGGCAGGTCTTTCGACACCGGCCGGGTTTCCTTCGACATCACATCATCCACACCGGCGAGAACCCCTATGAGTGCTTCGAGTGTGGCAAGGTCTTCAAACACAGGTCCTACCTCATGTGGCACCAGCAGACTCACACGGGGGAGAAGCCCTACGAGTGCAGCGAGTGCGGGAAGGCCTTCTGCGAGAGCGCGGCCCTCATCCACCACTACGTCATCCACACGGGGGAGAAGCCCTTCGAGTGCCTGGAGTGCGGGAAGGCCTTCAACCACAGGTCCTACCTCAAGCGGCACCAGAGGATCCACACCGGGGAGAAGCCCTTTGTGTGCACCGAGTGTGGAAGGGCCTTCACCCACTGCTCCACTTTCATCTTGCACAAAAGGGCCCACACCGGAGAAAAGCCTTTTGAGTGCAAAGAATGTGGGAAAGCCTTCAGCACTAGGAAGGACCTCATCCGACACTTCAGCATCCACACCGGGGAGAAGCCCTTTGAGTGCTCTGAGTGCGGGAAGGCCTTCAACCGCCGCTCGGGGCTCACGAGGCACCAGCGGATTCACAGCGGAGAGAAGCCCTATGAGTGCATGGAGTGCGGCAAATCGTTCTGCTGGAGCACGAACCTCATCAGGCACGCCATCATCCACACCGGGGAGAAGCCCTATAAGTGCGGCGAGTGCGGAAAGGCCTTCAGTCGCAGCTCCTCCCTCACTCAGCATCAGAGGATTCATGCTGGGAGACACCCCGTCAGCGTCGGCGCCGCAGAAGTGGGGAGACCCTTCGCGAGCGGGCAGTCCTCCGTCACCCTGCGAGAACTCCTTCTGGGGAAAGACTTCTTGAATGTAACCACTGAGCAAAACCTTTTGCCAGAGAAAACCTCTACCGTGGCATCTGATCGAACCTACCAAAGAGAAACCCCGCAGGTATCTTCGCTGTGAGAAAACCTTCCCTTTCAGCCTGTCAGGAGTCGTGTGGAGACGCAGTTAGGGGTTGACCCGGCCCAGAGGCTTACTGTGCGCCTGCGAGTTCATCCGTGAGGGAGAGAACGAGTGTTGATTGTGCACGAAGTAAAACCTTCAGCTACGTTTTTCCTCTTAGTGTGCGCTGCAGCGTTATCTCAGGAATTTTTATAAAAAGAAGGTGGCGATTTAGAAGGGCAAATGAAGTGAAAAATTTGTGAGACTTTTCTGTCAAGCTTTGTCAAGCACTTTGTCGTGGATTCATTCCTCAGTTTACTTGGAGCAGGGGGTGGTATTTCAGAGGCTACGGGCCTTGACCCTTTGTGTGTCTTGTATATACGTTCATTACTGTCCGGTGGCAGGAGAGTTAGACCTTTGAGGACAGGTATTAAAAGTGGTAAATACACACATAAGAATGGGCACATTTTATTGCAGCAGTTAGGACTGAGACTTAACAGTTTTAGAAAACAAACTGTTCTTTGTTTTTAAACCCCAAACTTTTCTTGATCCTATCTATCTACTTAGTTTCCGTAGCTGTACAGTAAACCTCAAGATTGGGTAAGAGTGATTCCTCTCTATTACTTACATTGATTTAGCTTTCTTAGTTCCTTTGACTTTTCATATAAATCTTAGGATGCAAAAAGTCATGTTTCCATTTTTATAGGGATTGGTTTAAGTCTATAGATCTGATTGTTGAAAAGCAGCATCATGAACATTGTACGTGCTATGACACTTCAGTTATTTAATTCTTTATTTCATTACCGTTTTATAATTTTCAATACAGGCTCTTTATTTTTGTTAATATTTGTAACTAGATTTTTTTTTTTGAGTGATTGTAAATGTCATTGATTTTTACACTTTGGTTTATCATATGCTCTTTGGTAGTGTGCAGAATGATCATTGGTTTGAGGGATGATATTTTGGCATCCGGCAACCTTGCTGAACTCAACATTATTTCTAACCATTTCTCTAAATAGAATCCTTAGAATTTTCTGCAGAGATACGTCAGCTGCATACAGAGTTTTATTTCTTCCTTCCCGTCTGTATGTCTGTGACTTTATTTTCTTATTTCATTACGTGTTCTTCCAATGTGATAATCAGATAGGAGTAGTCAGAAAGGATGCCCTTGACCGATTTCTCATATGAGGTGGGAATGTTCAATTTTTCATCAAATACGATGTTAAAGTTCTTTTTGGAGCTCTCTTAGCAAGTTTAGAAAATTTCCATCTATTCATAATTTGCTGAGATTTTATTTTTAGTTATGAATTGAGTGTTGGATTTTGCCAAATGCTTTGCCTCCATCAATTGATGTGATCATCTGATTTTTCTTCTATAGCTTATTGATATAATGTATTACATTGATTAGTTTTAAATATTGAACCATTCTTGCATCCTTGGAATAAATCCTACTTGGTTGTGGAGTAAAATAGTTTTATGTATCATATATCAAACATTCCATTTGATTATATTTTGTGGAGGAAATTTTCCTCTAATTTTCTGAATTCAGAATAATTTTTATATTGGATACATTAGATAGTTTTAAGTTTGTCATTTTCAAGGAATTGTTCCATTTTATCTAAATTTTCTAATTTGCAGACTTGTCTGAAATTTTTCCTTATCACCATTTTAATGGCAGCAGGATCTATACTTCTGTCCCATTTGATTCCTGATTTTGGAAATAGGTCTGCTGTCTCTTTATCGTGTCCATCTTCTTAGGCATTTATCAATTTTATTGATCATTTTGAAGAACGAGCACTTTATTTCATTTGTTTCTTACTAATGTTTATATAATTTCACTAATTTCGGTTTTGATCTTTATTATGTATTTTCTTTTACTTGCTTTGGTCATATTTTGCTCTTCATTTCTTTTCTGATTTAAGCATTTAGTACTATAAAGTTCCCTTACAGCATTGTGACAGCTTCGTCCCACAAGTGTTGTTTTCTTAAGTTTATTTATTTATTTTGTGTGAGAGAGAGCAAGAATGCACACATGCGTGCCCAAGGGAGGGGCGGAGAGAGAGAATTCCAACTCTGCCCTAAGTGCAGAGCCCGATGCAAGACTTGAACTCAACAACCATGATAGTATGACCTGAGCTGAAATCAAGAGTTGGATGCTTAACTGACTAAGCCACCCAGGCGCCCCCCCTCCCCAACTCATTTTAATTACAGTTTATTCAGCTCTTTAGAGACTTTACTGGGTTCATGGATTGTTGTTTAGTTTTCTAGTGTTTAGAGTATTTTCTTTATCTTTTGTTATCTAGTTTGTTTCACATTTGGCCTCTTTAAATTTGTTGAAGTGTTTATGACCCAGTCTTCTTGAATGTTTTAAAAGGCTGCTTGTAGAGAATTGGTTCTGCTGTCAATGGGTGGAGTTTCTATAAATGTCTGCACAATCCTCTTGGTTGGTAGTAGTAGTCAAATTTTCTGTATCCTTACTGACCTTCTGTTCAGTATTTGTCAGTTCCACAGAGAGGATCATGGAGTCCTGAATCATAACTGTCTGTCTTTAAATTCTAATATTTTCTGCTTCAGATATTTTAAGCTCTGTTGTAGGGTGCATTCACATTTACTATTGATATATTGTCTTGGTGTATTGACCCTTTCCTTATTTAATAACCCTTTTTGTCCCTGTTCATTTCCTTGCCTTTGAAGCATACTTGAGTGATAATATAGTCCCTACTTCGCGGGGTTTTTTAATGTTTCTTTTTTAAGAAAGAGCAGAGGAGGGGCAGAGAGGGAGACAGAGGATCCCAAGCAGGCTCTGGGCTTCCAACACAGAGCTCGAACTCATGAACCATGAGATCATGAACTGAGCCAGAGTCAGACACTTAACCAACTGAGCCATCCAGGCGTTCCGCCCTATTGCATGTTTTGATTAATGTTTGCATGGTGTATATTTTTCCATAATTTTATTTTCAACCTTATCTGTGTCACTACATTTGAAAGAAGTTTCTTATAACAGCATATAGTTGGGTCATGCTTTTTTATCCCTTCTACATTCTTTTAATTGGTAGAGTCACATCATTTAAATTGAAATAATTATTGGTGTCTTAGGGCTTAAAAGTACCATTTTTTTGTTTTTTGCTTCTGTCCCCTTTACATTGTGTCTCTTGTTTACTGGCTGTTTTTGTTATTTTCCTTTTCTATTTTGTTGTTTTGCATTCCTTTGGGTTACTCCAACAATTTTTAGAATTCCATCTGATATACCTGTGATGTTTTGAGTGTTGTCTTAACTTTTGTACTGTAGGCATTGTATATACATAATTTATCAGTATTTTAAGCACTTTGATGTACAGAAGCCTTAATTCCATTAGGTTCCTTTGCATTTTCCATTTTAAATCTAATTATTTTAAGTATTTCCCTTTGTACCCCAAGCACCATGTTCGATGTTGTGATTTGTGCGTCAGCTGTCAAACATTTTTTAGCAAAACTCATGAAAAGCATGGTCTCTTTATTTCTACTTTTACTCATTCTGTTTCCATTATTCTTCCTCCCTTGAAGTCCCAGACCTTATGTTAACATTTCCCTTCTGTTTGGTAAATTTCCTGTGGTCTTTCTTCTGGGGTAGGTCTGCTATTGACAAATGATTTTGATTTCCTTCATCTAAAAATGTTTGTGTCCCCTTCATTCTTTTTTTTTTTTTTAATTTTCTTTTAATGTTTTATTTCTGAGAGAGAGACAGCGTGAGCAGGGGAGGGTCAGAGAGAGAGGGAGACACAGAATCTGAAGCAGGCTCCAGGCTCTGAGCTGTCAGCACAGAGCCTGACGCGGGGCTCAAACCCACGAACCATGAGTATGACCTGAGCTAAAGTCGGACGCTTAACCAACTGAGCCACCCAGGCTCCCCTGTGTCCCCTTCATTCTTGAAGGATGTTCTCATGGGATAAAAGACTTGGGGTTTACCGTTCTTTTAGTACAAGAAAAGTAAGTTACCTCTTTGTGTCCTCCATGGTTTCAGATGAGAAACCTACTTATTGCCATTCAGCCCGTTCCCTATCTGTAGTGCATCCTTTCTGTGAAGGGCCTTCAGAATGTTTTTATCCTTAGTATTTGTAAGTTTGATTACGATGTGTCCTGGCACAGAGTTTTTGGAGTTTTCCTCTTTGGTATTTAACTTTTTAAATCTGAGGGCATATGTCCTTTGCCAAATCTGGGGGATTTTCAGCAATTATGTCCTCTAATAATTTTTCAGCCCTACTCTTTCTCCTGTTTTTCAGGGACTTGAATTAAATGAGTTCTCAAATTTTTTTTGTTGATCTAGTCTTCTTTTCTATTACTCAGATTTATCCCTTTCCATTGACCTTTCCTTGAGCTCACTGATTCTTTTTTTTTTTTTTTTTTTTTTTTTATTTCTAGGAGAGAGAGAGAGAGAGACAGCGTGAGTAGGGGAGGGTCAGAGGGAGAGGGAGACACAGACTCCGAAATACGCTCCAGGCTCTGAGCTGGCAGCACAGAGCCCGACGTGGGGCTCGAACCCATGAACCGCGAGATCATGACCTAAGCGAAAGTCGGATGCTTAACCGACTAAGCTACCCAGGCGCCCCATGAGCTCACTGATTCTTTTGTCTCTCATCCCATCTCCTGTTAAACTTAATGATTGTTTTTGCTTTTGTGGTGTTTGTTTAGTTTTTTCTTTTTTTCCAATTTAATTTCCACTGGTTTCTTTTTTACATTTTCTAATTCCTTGCCTAGTTCATAATACCAAAGAAGGACTCTGAGAAATAAAACAGGCAAAACTATGTTGTCCAGGGTCCTGGTTCTCTGGTGGTCTGTCTTGATACTGGAATAGAAATCTTAAGGTATGCAGAGAAATGGAACTCCTGTTATCCACAAATATTTCTTAAAACTGAAGATCTGCACTTACTCAGGGTTACAGTCTCAAGGGAAAATTGGTGTGTAAAATCCCCAGCTCTGTGTGTCTTGTTAGTGCCCCAGAGGAGAAGGGGTCCCCCCTCCCCAGGGAT